TTTTCTACCAATTACAGACAAGGCAAAGATAAAACACAAAAAAGATTTACATCAAAATGGATACTATGATTATATAAAACGACCGAACAGTCTGCAAATCTCTGAAACTGAAAAAAATGCTCATTAATTGGTAGGTAAAACCAAAACCAAAACCAAACCAAAACAAACCAAACCCAAAAAACCAAAAGAAAACCCCAAAACACAAAAACCAAAACCCTGATTTTTTGGTAGTACTAGGTACGTTACCATTGAACCACATTCCTAACCTTTTATTTTGATTTTTTAAGACAGGGTCTTTCGAAGTTGCCCAAGCTGCCCTTCAACTTGCAATCCTCTTTCAGCTGCCAGAGTAGCTGGGATCACAGACATGCCCTACCACACCTGGTAAAATATTAATTCCCAGCCCAGGAAATGTGAGAAGGCAGTGATCCTCTCTAAAGGTAAAAGAGTCCTGATGCCTGCCTTGGTAAGATCAGGTAATCAAACACACCTGGCAGGAGAAGCTTCTTGAAGGAAGACAATCCTGTGAACACGAAGCAGCCGGGCAGCCCGAGGGTAACACCTGAAGGTGGCACTGGAGGCTTGAAGTGTGACACCTGAGGTAGCAAGTGCTGTTGTTTCAAGTCAGTGAACGTTCATGAGGATACTGTAGTAGACATCTGTAATTTATAACGACTTTCCACTGGATCTCAATGTCTTCCTAGTAGCACATGTAAATTTACAGACTGAGGGCATCAACGGTGATAAAAAATGACTGACAAGAACAGTGCCATAAAATCTTCTAGGGTAGAGAGGCTGACAGACACAGACTACCCATCAGCATGCTTATGGCTATAGCCAAAGAAGGATTTGTTCATAGTGTTATGATGGTTAAATGAGATATGTGCAGATATCTGGTAGACAAGATCTGGTGCTCGTTGTTTTTTATTAGAACATAGTGAGAAGAAAGGCAGGAAAGATCAAGTGTAGAATCAGATAGAAAGGGTTTAATTTTGCTGCTTGTTGAAGACATCTCCACAGTGCCAAACCTGACGCCTGATACCCTCCCTGGTACCTTGAACTTGCCAAAGGCTGATACACTTCTTGCGAAGGGATAATTTAGATATGAAAGGATTTTGCCCTAGATACGATATTATGGCAGTGGGAAGTGGGACCAAGGGACATTTACCTTGAGGTCACTTCCCCCTTCCCCTATGACAACTTCCTTTTCCATCTACCAGTGGCACCAAAAAAGTCCCAACCAGCTGCTCGCGCATCACCAATGCCTGCCCTGAGTGCAAACCCTGGTCAGAGGTTTTATGTATGTCCCCATACCCATGTCCCGATCAGAGGAGATCCAGCCATCTTTGGTCGTGGGGCATTTCTCCCCGTCCTTAGAATAAAGGCTATTTTACTCCAGCCAGGCTGCTGGGTGTGTCAGAGCAGCAGTGGTAAGTGGTAGCCTATGGCACGAGTGCTACAGTAGGCTGTATGTATCACTGAAAGCTCTAAGAGATTTGCCATCACTGTGCTAGAAGGGTGACAGTGATGGCTGCACATGAGAAGCAGCTACAGTGGGGCTCTCTCCCAAAAAGACAAAAGAAAAAAAAAAGAGAGAAGCAGCTGGGGATCTTCTAACATAATACCCACCCTCATATATTGTTGTTGAGAATGTAAAATGGTATGATTACTTTACAAAGCAGTGTAACAGGTCTTCAAAAAGTATCTCAGCAGTTTCACTCTTACAGATGTACCAAAAAAATGGAAAGCATGTCCACCCAAGAACTTTTATGTATGAATGTTCACTGCAACATTATTGTTGGCTAAAAGTGTGAACACAAATGTCTATCGAATGATCAATGGATAAATAAAATGTAGCCTCACCTATACAATGGGACACAAATTAGCCATACTAAGAAATGCCATACTACTGATGCCTGGTACAGCAGACATGAAACTTGAACATACACTAAGTGAAAGAGCCCAAAAAGTCACATGTTGTACATTTTTGTTTATATAACTGGACCAGGCAATCCATTTAGAGAGTAGTGGTGCCATGCACTTGGCAGGAAGAGAAGGGAGTGACTATAATTGGGTACAAGGGTGCATTTGGGGGTGAAATTTCCAGAAAATAAAAATTTTTCTGAAGTTAGTGGCAGTGATTGCACAACATTATCCACAAACTAAAATACTGCTGAACGGTATTCTTTAAAAGGGTGACTATCATAATATGTAAATGCTATGACTGTGCCTAGAGTTCCCCAAAGCCCATGCAGTCATAGGTAGGGCTTTTTCAGAGGTGGCTGGGCCTGTGGTGTGTGACACTGCCATTGATTCATGGTGCAATGCTGGGTTCAAGAGACCTAGGATTAGGGCTGTGAGTGCTGCCCGCCCCAAGTGGCCTGGGTAAGATGTAAGGGATAAGAAAAGGCTGTGGCCGCCCCAGCTGCTTTGATACCTTCTACATGCAATGAGCTATTTCTCCTCTGCGAAGTCTGCGTGCCCTGCCACCTTGCCTTAGAGCCAGCAAACTACGGACTGAAACCTCTACACATTGTGAGCCAAATAAAACTTTCCTCCCTTTACTTTGGGTGCTGGGTGTTTTGTCAAGAAAAGTAATTAAGACAGTACATGTCTTATTTAAAACTGCACTGATTCATACACTTCAAAAAACTAAATTTTGTGGTATATGAACTATATTTCAATTTAAAATAATTATAATACACATGCCTGGACCCCACCACTAGGAGATTCCAACTTAATTACTTCGGAAAGACTTTAAAGATATTATGATGAAGGGGCTGGGGATTTAGCTCAGCGGCATAAGTGCCTGCCTTGCAAGCAGGCAGTCGTGAGTTCGATCCCCGGTACCGATAAAAAGGAAAAAGACAAAAAAAAAAAAAAAAAAAAAAAGATATTATGATGAAACTGGAAAGAGGGGCCACATAATGAGACCTCATGCCTATGACACAAATAACTAAGAGATTCAAATCTAGAACACAAAAATGGGTAAGGAATGACAGATAACACCGAAAAGAGATAAAGACACAAATTGGCATTTCCCAAAGAGAAAAAACAAGAATTAAAAGTATCAGGGCTGGGGACATAACTGAGTGGGAGGATGCCTGCATTCAATTTCTACAACCCAAGATATTTACTTTTTGTCCTTTTGCTTTTTGTAGTACCGAGTTCAAACCCAGAGCCTCACACATGGTAGACAAGTGCTCTACTACTAAGCTACATCCCTGGTTCACTCCAATTTCATCTATCATTAGAGAAATAAAGCCACAATGAGTTGAGCATGGTGGTGCACACCTACAATCCTAGCACCTGGAAGGCTGAGGCAGGAGGACTGCCATGAGTTCAAGGCCACTGAGTTTAAGACCAGCAGCTTGGACTAAGTAGTAAGACCTTGTCCTCAAAAAAATTAAAAAACAAACCAAACCAAAGACACTACAATGAGATGTGGTCAAACACTTCCAAATTGGCAAAAATTTAAAAATCTACCAATACAAAGTGCTGGCAAACTGAAGGGCAACGAGACTGCTCATGTACAGCTTGTGGAAACTGCACCTCTTCGGAGAACACAGCAGCATCATTTGCTGAAGTTGAAGATATGTGTGTTCTATGGCCCAATCATTTCACAACTAGAGAATTCCTGTGCTTTGTACTAGAATACACTCCCAGCTGCATTATTCAGAACGGACCCAAAACAGAAACCACCCCAATTGTCCATTAAGAGGGAGATGGGTGAGTAAACTGTCATATATTCTCACAACGGCAAGTAACAAAGACCAGGACTGCACCCTATGTAAAAATATAAATGGAACTCAGAAGCAGAATGGTGAGCAAAAGACACAAGACACAAAATACATACAATGTCGTTCGATTTACGCAAAGTTGAAAACAGTGAAAAGCAAGTTGTACGGTTTAGGGAGGAATACACAGACAGTAAAACTATCACAAAGAACAAGCAAGTGACTAATATGGAAGTCAGGATGTGTGGTTGAGAAGTTAACAGGGAATTGTAGGGTGCTGTAATATTCCGTTTCTTTTTTAAAAAGAGTAATATTCTATTTCTTTATCTGGTTAGTTATTCCCTTTTTCAAAAAGTTTTTTGCACTAAGGTCTCACTGAAATCATTAAGTCACCCAGGCTGGGCTCAAACTTGTAACCATGAAACGCTGGGATTCCAGACATATGCTACCACACCTAGCTGCATTTGTTTCTTTATATTGTATATAGTTAGATTTCATTTATTTTTTTTCAGTAGTGCTATTTTTTACACACACAAAAAAGGCTAACCTATTGCTTTTTTAAGGAAAAAAGGTCCATGACGATCTGATGTAAAACCAACGTTGAGGACTACTGCATTAAAAGAAGGTTCACCAGATATGTATTTACATATAAGGTAAATGCTCAGAACAGGAAAACAAACAAATATTTTACACTAGTAACAGTGGATACCTCCAGGAATATGGGGAAGAGGATTGTATACAGTAAGTTAACCTTTATTTCCTATCTTCTTATATATTTCTGCAATGTTTAAAGTTGCTCATTACACTAAATATAATTAAAAATAGATTTTAAAATTCAGAAAGATAACCCAAAAGTTAATAAAATTAGTTGCCTCAGGATAAGGGAATGTGAAGAGTATTTTCACTGTACTCTGAATTTTGAGCCCCATGTGAAAGTATTTCTAAAAATTTTATTTAAAATAACAACATTTGTCTCTAGTAGTTTTTGCCAGAGCTCACTGCTGTTGAAATACACAATTAGCAAGTTCTGAAAGGAGCCTGGAGCATCCCGACCTTGCATTAGCTCCTCCAACATATGCTACCTCCCCCATGCCATGGCTCTGTGAAGGAGCCAAACTATGCTCTTAGGACTCTCAGTTCATACATGTGAGGTGCCTTGGACTGCCGAAATCCGAGTTCATCACACTTGCCAAAAAATAAAATGAATTATTTCCCCGGACTTAGGCGGCTATGGGGGTTAATGAAGAAGGAAGAACTGAATACCTCCAAGAGGAGCTCCACAGTATCCACCCGGAGCTCTTGCAGTCCCACTATCTGTACCACGTGGTTGCTGTCTTCTCTCGCGAAGAGCCTAAAGATGCAAAAAGGTAGCTGGTTTGATGGTATTGCTGTAACAGATTTTGGTTTGCCTCCCCAGAACCCATTCAACCACTCTCTCATTCAGTAGCAATTTTGAAGGTGAGCATGGTGGTAGATGCTTATAATACCAGTAAGCTGGGAACCTCAGGCAGGATTACAAATTTGAGTCTAGCCTGGGCAATTTAGTGACTTTGTAAGATTCTGTCAATCAACTAATCAATTAATTGATAAATGGTGATATACTGTAGTTTAATGCAAAGGACCTGAATTCAATCCTCAAGACCCATGTAGTACACGCATGTAGTACCTCAAAGTGCGTGCGCGCATGCACACACACACACACAGACACACACACACACAGGTCACAGTTTTGCTGCTTTGGATGAATATGATCCTTGTTTTCAATTCCACGTTAGCCTAAGATTTCAGCTGTTGTCCATGATTACTGTAACTGAATCAGTATCTTGGACTATGATTAAAACAATGAAGCCTCATTGTTCTAACACAGTGACATGTTCTTGGCTGCAGTGATTGGTTCAGGGTGGATGTGGAATCTCTGTTGTCCAATCAAAGTCCTGATCTCTGATTGTTAGGTGCCTCGTGGTGGTAAGGTGTCCTTCCTTTCTCTCTGAAGTGAAACCATGTGGCCTTGGGAACTGTGGCAGCCTCAGGCTAACAAATAAGGCAATGAATAGTTACAAACTGCCATTTCATTAAGTCAGATACACTGAGCATATACGCTGAATCTATAAAAAACTAAAGATTATTCTCTTTCCTTAAAAAGATAACAAGTTTAAGATTGGAATTTTAGGGGCTGGGGGTTTAGCTCAGCGGCATAAGAACCTGCCTTGCAAGCAGGCAGTCGTGAGTTCGATCCCCAGGCAAAAAGCAAGACAAAACAAAGAAAACTCAAAAACATTTTTTTAGTTCATCCTTTAGCCCAAGTTTCCAAATATTTACACAAAATCTGTCTTACCAATGCCCAAATTACTCAAAAAACAACTACTCAAAAGTTGGGTTCTGTATTGAAATGATCTGGCTTTCAGTCTTTTTTTTTTTTTAGATGGGGGTTCTCAGCATATAGTTCAGGCCAGCTTTTATCTCACTAGGTAACCGAGGCTGGCCTATCCTTCTGCTTCAGCCTCTAGAGATTCTACTATCCTTCTGCTGCAGGCTCTAGAGTGGTGGGATTACAGGTGCATGCCACCATGCCAGGTTACTTTCATTGTCAATAGCTGTTGCATTTAGCAAATATTTTTTGGATGTCAATATTTCTTAAAATTAAGTTTACTGGTACATTTTAGGTATATATATATATAAAATGATCCCATTCATCATAGGTAATTTGTACCTGTACATGATATAACTTGATTTCTTTTCTTTCTTCTTCTCTCTCCTTCCTTTCTTTCAAGAGACAGTCTCACAATATAGCCTAGGACGGCCTTGAACTCACTTTGTAGCCCACAATGGCCTCAAACTTGTGGTGCTCCTCTTTCCCCTTCCTCAGCCTCCCCAGTGCTTGGGATCACAGGTGTGCACCACTATGCCCAGTGAATCTTTTTCTACTGTTCATGGTGGTATAGCTATTGCATTTAGTAAATATTTCCTATATGTCAACAATTGGTTTGTTTTTGTGTCTAAACTACAATTATAGATCTATTTTTTATGGTGAAAGGAGTACCGTGATAGCTTCTACTGATTCTTATGGTCTGTCAATATCCAGTCTGTCTTTGATTCTGTTAATATTGTTCATTTTGTTGCTACTGCTAGGGTGGCATATTTGTTGCTATTAACTAGCTTTGACTAAATGCCAATACCTGGGCTTTTTGTGTGTGTCATTAACAACACTGGGGTTCATTTCCAATGAATTGGGTGCTGGGCCAATTACATTTCACCTTATCTCCCAAATTAGCAGAGGTGGTTGAATCTGGGGACAGAAGAGCCATGCCCAGAGGTCACTACTGAAAAGCACTCACTGTTGAAAAGCTTTCCATACTAGCAATGAAGTCTTTCCACTATGATTGTCCTGCAAACCTCCACACAAGGAATATAAAGGAGGAGGGAGGGGAGGGGGGGAGAGAGAGAGAGAGAGAGGGACAGAGACGGGGGCAGGGGGAAGAGAAAGGCCCAAAATGCTTTCAAAAAATTTTCAACTACCTCAAATCTCATCCAAGGGAGATCAATGGGGAGAAAATCAAAAGCTAAATAGCTGAGTTATATGAAATAATAAAAGGAAACAAAAAGCGAGGTCAATAAGGTACTTAGAAATGACATAACTAAACAGATAATGGACTTAATAAAAAGCTAGCTAACCTACACAGAATGAAGAAAACATGTATGACAAGTTTAGTAAAGAATTAGTCCATAAGGGGCCCAACAGAAACCCAGGAAATAACAGAAGTTCTACTGAAACTATTGGCAGCAAAAGTGACCAATGTGAGGACAGGGAATCAGAAATAGACGATGAGGCTGATGCAGATGAACATACGCACAGAGGGACCTTAAAAACAAGACTGTGCAAAAACAGCTCCAACAGCTACTAGGTGATGCAAAGAAGACTGAGATTAACTAGCACTTGTGAGAAAAAAAACAAAGTAAAAATGGTGTAAAATAGCCACAATTAGTAAAGAACTTCTCCACTACATGTAATAGTAAGAATCCCAGAAGTCCAACATAAGGACAGACTCTTAAAAGCTGTTAGAGAAAGCAAAAAGTTACTTCTAAAGGTAAACCTGCTGGGTGTGGTGGCACACGCCTGTAATCTTAGCACTTGGGAGGCTGAGGCAGTTTGAGTCCAGTCTGGGCTACATGGTGAAACCTTGTTTCAAAAGACCAAAAATAAATAATTAAATAAATAAAAATTAAAAATACATAATCTTTTGTTTGTTTGTTTTTGAGACAAGGTCTCACTGTGTAGTTCTGGCCTGCCCTGAACTCACTATGTAGCCTAGGCTGACTTCAACTCACAGCAATTCTCCCACCTCAGCCTTCTGAATGCTGGTATCACAGGCAGTTACCAACATGCCTTGCATAAAGAAAGAAAGAAAGAAAGAAAGAAAGAAAGTAAACCCACTAGAATTCCAGAAAATTTCTCAACACAAATTTTAAAGGCCAAAAGAGCTTGAAGTGATGTGTTTTAAACCTTAAAACAAAATAATTTCCAATCTACACTGATATAACCTGCAAAGCTATCATTCAAAATTAATGGAAAAATAAAATATTTCCATGACAAGGAACACTTTAAGAAATTCATAACCACTGAGCCAGTGCTACAAAAAATTCTCAAGGATATTCTTGAAAAAGACAATGAGCCCAACAATAACGGTCTAAAGGAATCAGACAGGGTAAGCAATGTAAACAGAAGAGGAGAAAAAAGCAATCAGCAACAGGAAAATGATGCAATGACAGGAATAAGTCAATACTTTTCAGTGATAACTTTTTTTTTTTTTTTTGGTACCAAGAATCAAACTCAGGACCTCACGCTTACCAGGCAGGTGCTGTGCTGCTGAGCTATATCCCTGGCCCTCAGTAATAATTCTTAATGTGAAAGGTCTCAACACTTCAGAGGATACAGACTGGCAGAGTGGGTCAAAAACAAGACCCAGTGATATGCTGTCTACAAAAAACATGTTTAACCCAAAAAGATACAGACTAAAAGCCAAAATATGGAAAACTATAATCTATGCAAACGGGAGCCCTCCCCAAGCAGTGGTAGCTATCCTATCTTCACACAAGGTGGATCTCAAGTCAAAACTGATCAGAAAAGACAAAGAAGGTCAGCACACATTGGTCAGGGGAACAATTCAGCAGGAAGAGAAAACATCAATAAAGCAAACACTACTGGACATAAAAGATCAGATGCACATGAATACAATCATAGTGGAGGACCTCAACATGCCAGTGTCACAAATAAATTAATTAGATAAAAAAAGAAAACAAAAAGAAAAAGAAAGATCAGAGTTGAACTGGGTGTGGCGACATACACTTGTAATCCTAGCACTTGGGAGGCTGAGGCAGGACACAACCACAAGTTCAAGGCAGCCTGGGCTACATACTGAACTCAAGGCCAGCCTGAATACATAATGAGACGCTGTCTTGAAAAACTAAAAGGGTACAGAGTTAAACCAAACCTTCAAATAAATGCACCTGAAGATATCTACAGAGTAATCCATGCAACAGAAGACACATTCTTTTCAGCAGCACATGGTACTTTCTCCAAAACAGATCACATACCAGCCCACCCATATATAAGTAAATATGAAGGAATCAGAATTCTTCCAAGCATATTGTTAGATCACAGTACAATGAAACTAGAAATCAGTGATCACAGAAACTATGCAGACACATGGAGACTAAACAATATATTCAATAATCAATGAGTCATAAAAGAAATCAAAGAAGAAATCAGACAATTCCTAGAATCAAACAATAATGCCAGTACCAACTACTTGAACCTATGAGATACAATGAAAGTAGTCCTAAGAGGAAATTTATAGATGTAAATGCTCACATCAGAAAAACAGAGAGCCTAAATAATCTAATGATGAACTTCAAGGTCCTAGAAAAACAAGAACAATCCAAATCCAAAACAACTTTACAAAGAAGGAAATCATAAAGATCAGAGCAGAAATTAATGAAATTGAGACTAAAATCACAATACAAAAAATTAATGAATCAAAGCATTGCTTATTTGAAAGAAGAAACCAAATAAATCCTTAGCCAACCTTACAAAAAGACCCAGATCAATGCAATTATAAATCAAAAAAGCAAAATATGGATTTCTAATCACGACTTGAAAAACCTATACTTCAATAAATTGAAGAATTCAAAAGAAATGTATAGATTCCTAGATATATATGAATTACTTAATCTGAACCAAGAAGAAGGTATAAAAATCCAAAGTAATCCAATAACAGGCAATGAACTTGATGCAGTAATAAAAAACTTGCCAACTAAGAAAAGCCAGTAACCTGATTGGATTCACCACTAATTCTACAAGTGTTTCAGGGAAGATCTAATGACAATACTTCTTAAACCCTTTAATGAAATTAAAAGGAAAGGATTAGTCCTAAAATAATTCCTGGATGCTAGTATTACCCTGATTCCAAAACCAGAGGAGCATCCAAATGAAAAAGAAAACTACAGGCTAATCTTTTAATGAAAAAAGATGCAAAAATTTTCAATAAGATACTGGCAAACAGAATGTAACAAGTTATTGAAAAGATCACACATCATGACCAAGTAGGCTTTATCTCAGGGATGCAAGGATGCCTCAACATATAAAATTAATAAATGTAATACACCACATAAAACAAAAGCTAGGACAAAAATAAATGATTAGGGTTGGGGATGTAGTCAGGCCCACAATGCCTGGTGGCAAGTGCAAGGTCATGAGTTCGATCCCTGGAACCATAAGAGACTCAAACAAACAAAGATCATCTCAGTAGATGTAAAGAAAAGCCTCTAACAAAAATCTAACACCTATTCACAATGAAAACCCTGAAGAAAATAGGCATAGAAGGACTTTTATCTCAATCTGATAAAAGTTGTTTATCACAAACCAACTGCCAACACTATATTAAACTGGGAAAAGCTGAAAGTTTTACCTCTCAAATAAGGAATAAGATGCTCTTGTTCAATATAATACATGAAAACCAGCCAGAGCGATCTGGCAAGAGAAAGAAAAGGGATACATATTGGAAAAGAAGACAGCAAACTATCATTATTTGCAGAAAACATGATTCTTTACATAGAAGACCCAAAAAAATGATACCAAAAGAATCCTAGAATTAATAACCAAATTCAGTAATGTATCAGGATAAAAAATCAAAACACTAAAATCAATAGCATTCCTGTACATCAATATGAAGTCACCAAGGAAGAAGCTAGGAAAACCACATTATTTACAACAGCAGAATAGAAAAATTAAATAATTAGGAATTAACCTAACAAAGGAAGTAAAAGACCTCTACATTGATAGCCACAGTAATGTGAAAAAAGAGATCAAGAGGACATCAAAAAATGTAAAGACAACCCTTGTTCCTGGGTAGACAGAGCTAATATTGTCCAAATGGCCATAGTACCAAAACAGATATACAGATTTAAGTCAATCCAATCAAACACCAACAGCATTCCTCACAGAATTGGAGAAAACAATTCTAAAATTCATATGCAACCAAAAGAGATAAAGAATAGCAAGCATAATCCTGAGCAACAAAAGCAAAGCAAGAGGCGATACAATCCTAGATTTTGAGTTATATAACAAAACTATAGTCATAAAAACAGTATGGTATTGGCATAAGAACAGAAATGTAGTTCAGTGGAACAGAATAGAGGAAGCAGAAATAACTTCAGGTACATGTGATCTCTGACAAAGGAGAGTAGGAAGTTCTGGTCTCTGACCAAAAACACTGGAGAAAAATAGCCTCTTCAACAAATAGTATTGGGAAAACTGGCCATTCACATGCAAAAGATTGAATCTAAACTCCTCTCAACATGTACTAAACTAAAATCAAAATGAATCAAAGACCTAAATATTAAAACAGAAACTATCTGCTGGAAGATAAAAATAGGTAAAAACTCTTGAAAGGCACTGGCAGAGGCAAAGACTTTTTGAATAGAACTACAGTTACAATTCTATTAAAAAAGAAATATCATCAAGGGTCAATAAATGGAGACTGGGTGTAGTGGTACACACCTACATTCCCAGCACTCAGGAAGCTGAGGCAGGAGGATTGTTATGAGTTCAAACCGAGCCTGGACTACAAAGTGAGCTCAAGGCCAGGCTAAACTGCATAGTAAGACCCTGCCTCAAACAGACACACACACACACACACACACACAGGCTGGGTGTGGCAATGTATGCTGGTAACTCCAGCATTTAGAAGGCTGAAGAAGGCATTCAAGGTTATCCTGAACTACAAAGCAAGACTGTCTCAACAAACAAAATTAACAAATGGTTAATTTGTTAATTACATCAAATAAAAACATGTGCAAATCAAAGGAAATGACCAACAGAATGAAGAGATAATCCACAGAATGAGAAAGGTTTGCTAGCAACTTCCTGAACAGTAGAAATATTTAGAATATATAAAGAAATAAAAAAATGTATCAGTAAAAGATTCAACCAAGAAATCGACAACTGCAGTGAATACACTCTCAGGAAAAGAATTACAAATGAGGACAAGCTCAGGAGCAGTGCCTGCCCAGCAAGCGCAAGGTCATGGGTTCAGTTCCCAGCACCAAAAGAGAAAAAAAGCAGAAGTACAAATGGCCTAGGAATATGTACATGAAAAAATGTTCAGCGTCTCTGTTCCTTAGAGAAATAGCAAATTAAAACAACACAGATATTCTGTCTTACTCCAGAAAGCATAGCTATCATTAAATCAAATAATAACAGTGCTAGTGAGACTGGAGGCGGGCGGGCGTTGATTCTACATCACTGGTGGGAAAGTAAACTAGTAAATTTTACACTACGAAAATCTGATTGTAAGTGCTTCAAAAAACTAAAAATAGAAATCCATGTGACCTCGCTGTTCCCCTTCTTGGTAACTCCCTGAAAGAGTTAAAGACCACAGGCTACAATGGCATACATGCACTTATGTTTTTTGTAGCACAACGCAATAATTGCTAAATCTTGGAAGCAGTCGTCAACAGATAGATGGACAAAAAATGTAGTATTTAAATACAATGGAGAAAAATAATAAATAAATGCAATGGAGAACTATTCTGCCATAAAGAACGATAAACTTGAGTTATTTGAAGGAAAGTGGATATAATTGAGACAATAATATTAAGTGAAATAAGTCAGGCATGCATGCTTAGATATTGCGTGATTTTCTCTTACATGAGAAACTCAAAGTATAAATAATTTAAAGAGCATAGTAAAAGACAGATAATACGAAACAGCTCAAGACAGATTTTTGCAAATGTGAAGGGGACCAAGAGATGGAGAGAGGGAGAGGGGGCTTAAAAAGAATGACGATGTGTTAGGTACATGTACCAACTCCCCACAATCATCATGTACTGCAAACAAATACGAATAAAAATAAAACAATGCATTTAACTAAAAACTTAGTGGAGCTGGCTGCAGTGGTGCATGCTCTCAGCACTGAGGAGGCTACGATAGGAGGACTGCAAGCTGGAGCCAGCCTGGGCTACACAGGAAGACGCTGTTTCATTCATTCGTCTTCTGAGACAGTCTCGTTATATAGTTCAGGCTGGCCTAGAACTCACTATGTAGCCCAGCTGGCCTTGAGCCCCCGTGATTCTTCTGCCTCAGCCTCCCAAGTGCTGGGATTACAGGTGTGCACCATCAAGCCCATCTCCAAAACACTGTTTCAAAAAGTCAAAAAAAAAAAAAAAAGGAAGACTGACTTACATTTTTCTCTAGCTGAACTGACAGTTTAAAGATACGTAACTGATGCAGGAGACTCTTGTTTCACAAAAGAGCACTGGCATAAAAGCCCATGGGATTAAAGTGACCGTGGGGCTCTGCTGAAACAATGAAGGGTAGATCTGCTGCCTCCCCTTCACACGGGGCTACCTTTTCCTTCTGTTCAGGAGGTCATAGAGCTGTCCGCAGTAGATTTCGTAGAAGCTGATCCACACGAAGAGGCGCCTTCCTGGCTGGGATACTTCCAGCTGTCTGAAGATATCTTTAGCAGCCAACGCATACAATCCTGGATTCCGCTGGGTCCCTATCATAGTGTAGGTTTTCCCAGCACCTGTCTGTCCATATGCAAAGCAAGTGGCACTGCCTCTGTGGGAAGAGTGTGATTCGAATCACTTATGTATATTAAGAGACGTGTAAACCTACATGCAACTTTTTAGTGATAAAAGTCAGGAAGAAACAGCATCCTTGATAAAAATTCAGCTATAAACATAATGCTTTAAGTAGAAGAGGGCTTTACATTATTAAAACACAGGAAGAGGTAAAATTATTCTCAAATCAGTGTTTTCTACTGGAATTTTTCACAGAACTGGTAAGACAACATAAAATAACACTGAAAAGTATGAAAACAAAGACTGTTCAGAAACCACACAGTCAGCTGCACATGGTGGCGCATGCCTGTTATCCCAGCATTTGGGAGCCTGAGACAGGAGGATCTTTGAATTCAAAACCAGCCTGGGGTTACAAAGTGAGCCCAAGGTCAGCCTGAACTGCACAATGAGATCCTGTCTCAAAAAGACTCCCCACAAAAAAAAGAAACCACGTGGCCAACAAGCATTTACTGAGTTCCCATCTCCTGCTAGGTGCTTTACAGAACCCCAGAGAGGATTTCATATTACTCTGTAGTGGAAATTTGGTGAAAGTCATAAAGAAGTAGAATAAACGTATTAAGTGGTAGATCGTATAAGATGGTAGTAACTATTCATATGAAAATTAAGCTACTTTACTGGGGATGGTGGTTAACTTTAGACAAAGGTAAAATCAGTGCAAACGAAGTATCTGAGGAAGCCAAGAAGAGGTAACTATACTTGAATGCAGAAGCTGAGAAGGCAGAGGCCCCTGCCATGCAGTAGCCAAAGTGAGAACACAGGCCGTGGGTAGAACAGATTTGGTGGGGCAGGTGTTCTAAATCTTGAGGGAAAAATCCTGCACTTTGGTCTCTGGCTAGTTATTAACTGACATACGCCTCTGCGCCTGGATTTTCACTTCCACCGTAAATTAGGAGGGTACAAAATGAGCCCAAGGTTAGCCTGAACTGCACAGTGTAAATTATCTGATTTCTTTTTATTTTATGTTTTTGAGACAGGTCCTCCCTGTGAGGCCCAGGCTGGTGTCAAACTTGCAGTGATCCCTTTGCCTCAGCCTCCCAAAAGCTAAGACTATAGGCATGCGCCACCAATGCGTGGCAGGCTACTCAAGAGCCCTTTCAATCCTAGAATCCTATGATTGTAAGTGATTCTCACTATTCTTGCACCCCGTGTGAGTATGAACAACTGCAGAATAAGAGGTGGAGAAAGGAGAGGAGACACCAAACTGTCAACCACCATACAAGTCAGGAAGATTTGGAGATCACGAGTACTGTGAGACTCAGTTACGCAGTGCTAAGTACAGAATGAACACAGGTGGTTCAGTAGCCAGTGCACTCTTGAACATGCACGTGGGTTAAAGAAAAAAGTAGCTGCTTGGGGAAAGAAAACAAAACAAAACAAAAAACCCCTATGTGTGTACAGGGGCTGGGGGAGGCCAGAGAGGGCAGAGATAAGTACACAGAAAATGAAAGCTAGATCACAGTTCAATGGTGAGGGTTTTTTTTAACATAAAAAATATGGGCATAAGCTGGGCATGGTGGCTCACGCCTGTAATCCCAGCACTCAGGAGGCTGAGGTGCGAGGATCGTTGTGAGTTTGAGACCAGCCTGGGCTACAAAGTGAGCTCAAGGCCAGCCTGAACTGCATAGCAAGACTCCGTCTCAAAAAAAAAAGGCATAAAATCTTACTACACTATGGAATGAATGCACCTATTACTAAAGTTTTACCGTTGAAATTTTAACTTATTTTAGAAACTCTCTCTCAAGAGACATCTCTTAGCTTTTGTGCATAAGAAATTGTACCTGATTTATGCATTGTGGCCGCCCTCACTCTATAGGCTTATTTTTCTGTTTTTATTTGTTCCAAACTTGCTCTGCAGAGCCTGTTTCTTTTTCTACCTTTAATAAAACTTTGCTACCATTAAAAAAAAAGAAAAGAAAAAAGTTGTATCTGAAAAATATTTTGCATTATTAGCCTGCTCATAAAAGTTTTTAAAAGAAATAACTTCCACAAAACAACAATAAAAAGACAACACAAGCTAGGCATGGTGGTGTGCACTGTAATCCTAGCACTTGGGAGGCAAAGGTAGGATTGTGATGTCAAGGCCAGCCCGGGCCATACAGCAAGTTCAAGGGCCGCCTGCATAGCAAGACCCTGTCTCAGAAAGAAAAGTTTTTAAATAAAAAAAGGAAAATTGAGGCCAGACCCACAGAGCATATGAGTAATTCTAGTACTTGGGAGACTGAGGCAAGAGGATTTTATGGTCAGCCTTGATTACACAGCAAGACTGTCTCAAAAATAAACATACAAGCAATTACAAACTGAAAGTATTCAAATGGCAAAGATCCTCGGTATCATTAAAGACATTCAGACTAAAACTGTAGTAAGATAACAATTTCACTAGCTAAAATAAAAAAAGACTGCTGGTAAGGCTGAGGAACTACACATTTCATAAACTGGTGCTGGAGTGTAAAGCAAGTTTCACACTCTGGAAGATCACCAGGCATTTCTCTTAGAAGCATACGCCTGTCCTGTGGCACAGCAATCTCCAGTACAGGGTTCTAACACGAGGTTAGTGAAAACATGCTCATAACAAGACCAGCATAAGAATGCTCACATACCTTTATTCACAACAGTCCCAAACCAGAAATAACCCAGGTATCTGACAACAAGATTATGATGTACACATTGTGATAGTCATAGGAGATACTGAGCAAAAAACCCCAAACTAACAAAACCTAGATACATGCAACAGCGTAGACTAGTTTATAAAACTGTGCTAAACCAACAGAAGCCAGGCATAAAAGAATATATAACTAATGATTCATATAAACAATAGTCACAGAAAACAAGTTGGTGGTTACACAAGTCCTGGAGATGGAGGTGACAGATTTACTAAAAAGAACACAAAAGAATTTTATGGGTGATACAAATATTCTATGTCTTGCTCAGCTATATATTCATCAAACTTGAACTACAAGTGCATCTTATTATATGTAAATTATATCTGTATTTCTAAAAAAATTTTTTTAAAAATCAGGGGTAGGGATATAGTCCAGTGGTAGAGTGCCTATCTAGCAGGAGTAAGGACCTAAATGTGACCTATAGTAACACAAAAACAAGTAAAAGTCAAGCTTTCTGGAATCTGTGATTCTAGCAGATCATCTGACATTTTCTTCTATATATGCTTGTATTTTAAATATGCAAGAGGCTTCTACTGTCTTTTCTGTCCATTTAAGTGTGAATAATAATTCAAATAAAAAACACATGTATGACAAGTTGCTAAGTGACATTTCACTTATCTATCCTGGCCTAATGAAAAAGTTAAACTGCAGGCAGAATGCATAATTCCTATTATCAAACCACTGAAATCTTTTGTTTCTGAAGACTGGTAAAGTTAAGTTGTTGACAGTATACACGGAAGTATCAAGTATCAATGTAGAAAGAAATTTTGCCACAAATTTCTAAATGCTTGGCAAATCCTATAAATTGAGATATTATACTTTTCCAGAAGAGTCTAATTTAATTTAAATTCAATTTAATCTAATTTAAATTCAATAAATCAAAATACAAATTCAGTTTCAAAAGAACTAAAAAGCATATGTGGTATATATAAAGGAATGACTTACGGAAGCTAGAAAACAAAAAAGAAAAGTAAATAATTTGTCTCACCCATTGAAAATATGCTGAATGAGGGGGTGAGTAGTCTTCATATATACATCTCGATTGGTGCACGCCTCACCAAAGACTTCATCAAAATAAAAAACATGCTGAAAAATAAATTTCATTTTTATAGAAAGATGCCTTCTAGCTTTCTTCACCACTTTCTAGGCAGCATAAGATAAAGGACTAAATACATTTAAAAATAACAGTAAGTGAGCATGATGAACTCAGATAATTGGTTAACTGTTATATGAAGGGGCTTCTTTTACTTGAGATCTCTATAGCCATGTAATATAGACACTAAGGCATATAAGTTTTGTTCTTTCTTAAGAGAAGTAATTCCATTAGTACAAAAATGAGCCACTCTTTGTGTCCGGGAAAACTCAATTCTACAGGGATATACCACTGTCAAACTCATCAAACCTGAATACTGTATGTGCACCTTACTATATGCTAATTGTCTTACATTCTCTCTCCCTCCCTCTCCTCCTCAGAGGATCAAGGCCAGCCTGGTCTACAAAAAGAGTTCGAGGCCTGCTCGAACTGTGCAGCAAAACCCTGCCTCAGAAAGACAAAAATAAAATAAAAACAACCAAAACAAAACAAAAACCCAACCCAAACCAAAACAAACCTTAATGGTTAAAAGGATACAGCACACTACCTGTATATGATTATATTACTAAGTAACAAGATTTGAAAAGACAGGATATTTAATTAGACACATACCTATTATTTTTAATCCCTGAGTAAATTTAAAAATAAGACTCAAAGAATTGAGAATCAATATTTATTTAGCACCAAGTCTGCTATGAATCTCCCTTATCTTCTTTTGCTTTTGAGAAAGGAAAAGAAAAAAAGTCCTCCCAATAATTCTGTGCTACAGCATTGACAGTTAAGGACTTTGACCTATGAAAGCAAAGGTCCAAAGTTCAAACAGCAGAGAGAATGCCATGGAAACTATGGGGATTCAATAAGTATTGATCAATGGTAATGACAAAGAGGTAAGTTTATTGTGTTTGAGGATAATGGAAAAATACAAAAGATACCACGATGTCCCCTTGAGGGAATTACTATGATTGAAGCATCATTAAAGACAACTTGGGCAGACAGTGATTAGCTAGAACTATTACTGTAGCTGTACCTAGCAGTGGAGCCAGATAGCATTAGGACCAATTGGTCATTAGACTATCTTCAAAATAAACACTTCCCACTGAAACTTAATAGACTGTGCATTGATCAGCAATCAATAAGGCTGTTAAAGTGATTGGGTTGGTTAAATAGTGGCCTAGTAATTTACTGCCCACAGAAAGACTTGGTGGATTACTCTAGAAACCCAATTTGGGTCATCAAAGAAAAAGAACAATGCAGATGGGAGAGGGACCTTTGAACAACTTCACTGTTAAAGGAGTTATTCTTGGAGCGAAGACACCAACTAGGGTGAATTCCTATTATCCCAGATTACTCATCACTTTTTTGCTATCAGTTTATGGGTGGTGAGGCAAGTCGATGAGAGAAAGAAAGGGAAGCATGATATGAATGTTTAATGAGCTATATTCAGAGCAATACACACTGAATTCCAATCTTTACAGCTGGTGGGTAGCCTGTTCTATTTTCCATTATGCACAATGGTTCCACAATTTTAGGAGTACCTAGTTACACAAACTTGTAAGTGTCAAAAACACGATCTTTCCCATCTGTAGAGTTTACTACTTCCCTATGACAATAAAGAATTATTGCAAATGGTATCTATTAGCTTAGAATAAGTTCAATACCAAACCTTCTTCACAATGATTTTTAGCCAACAATAAACACTTTTATGTGCCTGAATTAATGGTGTTTTATTTAGATTCTTAAAAGTTAGATATGAAAACATACACATGGATTATATTTGCTGATTGCAATCTGTCCTGTACAAAGGAGGCCCTATCAAAGCCCCATTCTGAGCAGTTAAATCTATTACCCAAGGCAGCTCAAAATCCTCCACAAGATATTGTCTATCGTTAAAACTCAAGACTCACACTCATCAGAGTGAAAAGAGCACATTGAGAGATGTAGGCAAGAATGGAGTCCCACTGTGTGACCATCTCAGTTGCTCTGAGGCACATGTTTAGTGACCTGTCCTACTGACCCCTTACTTAAATTATTTTGTAGGGCTGGGAATACAGCTCAGCAGCATAGCACCTGCTTGGCAAGCATGTGGTCTTGCATTTGATTGCCGGTTACCCTCCCAAAAGTAAATGATTTCATGCCAGGCATGGTGGTATACACTGTATCTCAGGACTCAGGAGGCTGAGGCAAGAGGATCGTTGCTAGTTTTTAAGGCCAGCCAAGATTACATATTGAGTTCAAGGCCAACCTGAACAATATAATGAGACCCTGTCTCAAGATAAAAAATTATTTTTATTCTCTTCTCCCGTTTTAAGTGAATGTATGATGTAGTTCCATCATGCAATAATCGAGGAATTACACTGTTTTATATAGCACTGCACCACATTTTTTAAAAATGAAGGCCAAACTATCAATGATTTATGCAATGTTATGTCAGGTATGACTAACAATACCCACATTAGAAACTGGATTTTAGAAACTGTATGGAGGCTGGTCCAATGGCAGTGGGTTATCAGAACTTATTAACATTAGTGTCACTAAAGTTGGTATACCACCCCCCCCCACTGCTAAATTTGACTGGCTTTAAAAAAAAAAAAAAAGAAACTGTATGGAACCATTTAAACAAAAAACATTACATAAACATACTTGATAATATTGATTCCCAACACAGAAGAAAAGCATCGTACCTGTAGAATATACTGTGTGAGGTCCACTGCTTCTTTTTTCTCATGTACGAGTACAGTCTCTCTGTCCTCTACAGTAATAATATTAATTTCTCCACGACGTAACTCCCTTATTCCCAGAGGTCGTTTTCGAACACAAACTCGGATTTTCTCCCTCTCAGTCCAAGGGTTCTCTTTCTCTGAAGTGTTCTGCCTGACATTTGTTTATAAATAGGCTTTACTTTTTAATAATAAGATAAGGCTACATAAGAGATCAAAGTATAAGTACATCATGTTGTATACTAGGTATAATGAATTTTCAATAACATACTGAAGTATCAATGAGACAGTTCTTTTATTAGCAGTTCTGGTTACTTTCATTTCCATCCCTACCCTATTCTACCCTTTGCCTTGCAAACAAACAAAAACAAAAACCCTAAAGGACCATATATACTTATTTTAGTTCTAAAACTTTTGTCCTTAGGTTAGATATAGTCTCCTAATAGTACATGCTCTTCGTGTCCCCCAAACTCAGGAATTAATTACAATTCTCAAAATCTAACACAATAAGCTGCTATCTACTCCTCCAGGACCTTTATGAAACCCATGTTCACCATTTTCTTGACCATGAATCTAAATTATTCTTAATTCTAGTAGAGTCTACGAAATACCTTGAACTAGATGCTAAGTTTCAGTGTACTTTTCCTCCTGTTTCTTGTAGCTATATCCTGCCTGTATCCTGTGTCCTACTGATTTTGTTTTTTGTCCCTTTCATATGTATTACTGTTTGTTAAAGCATAGTCATGTATTCCTCCTTACCAGAACAATGCTATGACCAGTCTTGTCCACCACAAATTTAAACTTCTACTCAGATGCATTCTTTCATTGGCTTCATTGAGTTATTCCACTTTAACAACCAGCATTTGAGGCAACACTAAAGTCTTTAGGTTAGGTATACAAAATTCATCAAGTTTATTTGCTGAATCTTAGTGATCAATATATCTAAGAACTGACCACTTAAACAGAAACGCCTTTAAAGCTAGGTAACAAGAAAATAAAGTTCTTAAAGAGATGTTTTTACCTGGATCAATGCCTGGTCCATCTTCTAAGAATGCTTTAGAAAGAAATTATTCTTTCCTCTATAGTACTTTAGAATATGATGGCACCTAAAAAGACTTTCATAATAGATTTTACACAAGTGCTATACTATGTAATTGCTTCGTATCAATTCTGATTTTCTGAGCCTTCCAACTGGCTGGCAAAAAATTATCTTTTGTCAGGATCTAAATTAGTTTTTCTACTATAATGTATAAGGCACTTTTAAGGCATTTAAAAAAACAATATATAGAAAATTTCTAAAAATTTATCATTTTGAAGTTCAATATAACTGCACATGCCTGTAATCCCAGCATTCAGGAAGCTGAGGCAGGAAGATGACCTTGAATTCAAGGCCAGCCTGAGATATACAGTGAGTTCCAGGCCAGCATGAAATACATAGTGAGGCCCTGTCTCCGAAAGAAAGAAAGGAAGACAGACAGACAGAGCAAGCATCATTTGGGGATGGAATGTTGCTTAGTAATGGAAGGATGCCTCACATGCACGAGGCCATGGGTTTAATACCCGGTGCTGGGGAGCACAGGGAGGTGGGGCGCAGGGTGGCTCATGGGACAGGGCAGCAAGCAAGCATCATTTTGAAGTTAAATGGGAAAATCTTGACAATTCAATTATTAAAATTGGATGAGGGCATATGGGAACACACTGTTCTATTGTCTCCTTTTGCATATGTTTGATTTTCACACACAAAAAAGAAAATTTTAGCTAAGCACAGTGATGCATACCTGAATCCCGGCTACTCAATGGGTTAAAGCAGGAAGATTTCTTTTTTTTTTGGCTTTTTTTGTATTTATCGGTACCAGGGATTGAACTCACGACTGCCTGCTTTCAAGGCAGGTGCTCAAGGCCGCTGAGCTAAATCCCCAGCCCAAGCAGGAAGATTTCAAGTTAAATAATAGCCTGGATACTTCAGTGAGACCTGTGTAGCATGCACAAGGCCCTGGGTTCAACCTCCAGTAACACCAGAGAGAAAACGTAATAATAAATCTATTTGAGACAGTGTCTTACTAAGGTTTCCAGGTTAGGCTTGAATGTGTGACTCTTAGCCTTCTAAGTAACCTGGCTTATGGGTGTGCTGAGCTGAAAACAGAACATTTTAATCTAGCATTTTAACAATGATTTTGTCAAAATCTGCTATTGTTGAGTATTAATAACTTAATCATATGCAGTTAATCAGAGGACAGAAAGTGTTTAGTCTTTTTAAAAATTGTGCAAGGACTCTAGGATTCTTGGACAAAAAGGTCTGTGGTTTTTAAGTTCAAAGGGCCAAAGGAATGTATAATCTAAACAGCACTGGTTTAAAGGCCCAATCTTCTACAAAAGAAATGACAACACGCGAAGAGTTAGGACAACTGGAGGTAGATCTGTTTAAGATGTTAATTAAGGCATTTAAAAAAACAATATATAGATGTGAGGCATCCAAAAAGCAAGCTCTTTGGAGACCAGGCTCAGTGGTGCACACCTGTAATCTCAGCACTCGGGAAACCAAGTCTAGAGGGTCATCACGAGTTCAAGGCCAGTCTGGGCTACACAGTGAGTTCAAGGCCAGCCTGAACTGCATACTGTATAGTGAGACCTTGTCTCAAAAACACAAAAACAAAAACTCTTCAGATATGATGACTGCTAATGCCAAGTCTTAAATTGGAAAGACTTTTTTTTTTTTTTAATGTTTGCAAATCCTTACTACTGTTTGAGGACTGGGGAATACTGAGGAAATGTACTTTCTTACCTTTAGTTCTCTAACATGAAACGGGAAGACTGAGCTAACATGAGAAAGCTCAACTGAACACCTTCCGTCTGGGTTTTATGTATAATTGTCTATAAGAGCACGTACTGCAGGATATGGTAGGTTAAACTGCCATCCCCACTCACCCTACCCTCTAAGAGTCTAAAAGCTTCCAAATATCCTAATTATCTTTATTCTAGAGTCATAACTAACAGAGTAAATGTAAAGGCAATATTTAAGCTAAATATGCATTCGACCATTAATGTTAAATAACAAAGTGGCATTTTTATTTATGAATCTAATTTAGATTTCTATGTGTTGTTCAATAATTCTAAACACATTTGCTCTTTTACCCTCGAGCTGACCAACAGGACAGCACTTATCCTGGCTTCACAGTCACGGAACAACTTAGTTCTCTCACAGTTAAAAGAGAACAGTATTGTACTAAATTCTCTGTGTTCTATTAGATCAAACCAAAAATAAAAGTTGTCAGAAACATTATAAAGTCCACTGATATGCTTTAAATTACTACAGATATCTTTATCTTTGAAAGTGAGTGTTCTTTTGGATTAAAAGAACTGGTTATGAGGTCATCTGGAACCTTAGTCAGTGTAAGACCAAAAAGAAATACTTTGTCTTACGGTGTGTATATAGCATTTTAAAAACGAGAGATTAAAAATGAATTTTGTGGGGCTGGGGATTTAGCTCGGCGGCATAAGCGCCTGCCTTGCAATCAGGCAGTCGTAAGTTCGATCCCTGGTACCGATAAAAAGGAAAAAGACAAAAAAAAAAAAAAAAAAAAAAAAAAAAAAAGAATTTTGTGGGGCTGGGGATTTAGCTCAGCGGCATAAGCGCCTGCCTTGCAAGCAGGCAGTCATGAGTTCGATCCCAGGTACTGGTAAAAAGGAAAAAGACAAAAAAAAAAAAAAAAAAGAAAAAAAAAAAGAAAGAATTTTGTTTTTCAATAACTGTCATGTATTACTTTAAAAATAAAAAATAGCATAAATTTTTGCCACCAGAAATGTCTTATTCTTTGTAATGCACCAAAATCTTCTGTTTTTCCAGGGCTAGAATGGTAACATGTTAAAATAACCCCTCTGAATCAAGATCATATTTCACTGTGCATATGAACTAAGGTCCTCCAAAGACCTACATAACTACATGCTGTCTGTTTTTAACTAAGATATAAGTCTGCTGGTTGGCTTAAGTGAATTTGATACTCATTAGAATATTCTGTGAACTGTGTAATTTTTTCCATTGTAGAAGGCTAGTTAATTATTTTACTGTAATGTTTGCCCTGGATGTATTACACTAAAATAAATAGAAATAATAGAAATAGGTCTTTTATAGAAATAACAGCAGATCTTGGCAAGCAGCAGCTGTCTGATACACACAAACAGTATCATCTTTCTCCCATTTGGGTAGCTCCAATTCCTTGTTAATTTTTCTCCACCCCGGGACTACTGCTGATACAGAGCTGTTCACTACCATTTCTGTTATGTTTATTTACTGTAAGTAGAGTGGTTGCTCTCTTCTAGTCATGAAGGAAAGGGCTGCCTTTGCCTCAGGCATTCACTCAAAAACAAAAAGGGTAAAAATAAAATTACCTGATACAAGATTGAGGGATTCCATAGTTATACCCTGAAACATGAGAGACTCTCTGAATGATGGGAATACCACAATTTCCCAGTACTGAAGAAAAGAGATTTGATGAAAAAAGGGACCCATCAGTCTCTGTTTCCACGTAAGAATCCGCAGTTGTGGCATTCAGAGTCAGTGTTTTCGTATGGAACTGGGAATCCTGTGGTAGCACGCGTTCCAGCACTTTCAGGTAAGTGGACTTCTGTTCATTTGCAGAGAAATCAGATACATTATGCACCGAAAACTCATTTTCGCTAGCAGTTCTGTCTTTGCTGTCAACAACAGTATCAAACTGTAATTGTCTGCGAGGCCCGGATCTGAATTCCTGAGTCTTAATGTACTGGCTGCTTGTCTGAAAAGGATGATCTGGGCTGGCTGTTTTCTCTTCTTCCTGCATAATCTTAATGATTTTGATCAGTTGGAAGAGACGCTTGCGATCATTCATGTCACGGACTCCCAATTTGGAGTAGTCTTTCATTGTAACCTTGGCTAATTCATCTATTTTCTGAAGGCCAAGGGCAGTAAAATGTGGATAATACTGTGCAAGTTCAGCTTCACAGAGACATTCATATAACCAGGACGCCATTTCTGTGAATAGGTTATTATAAATTCTGGAGAGACAGAGAAGGGGAAAAAGCATTCATTTAAAATATAGCATATATAATAAAATTTTCATTTAAAAAATTAAGAGAAGATCCAAGCTTGGTGATACACACAATAACACCAGCACTTCAGAGGCTGACGCAGGAGAATTTTAAGTCTGAGGGCACTGGGGTTACACAGAATTCAAGGCCAGCCTCCAACACACAGTAAGCCTCTGTTTTAAGCCTACCCGCAAAACGCATTTTAAAATGTAGAAATGTATTTCATCATCCTCAAGTTTTCAATAAGGACTAAACAGCATCAGGCAAACATGTTTTGTATAGATAAATTTATAATCACAGATACAATTTGCTCATCTGCTTAATAAGACATTTTCAACTATACAGTCTGCCAAAAAAAAGGCATACGTACTTCGACTTCACCATACTAATAAATGTCTGGAAGCTGATGGCCACACTTTGAGCACCTCTTTTAACTGTATAGGCCAAAGGTAACTTGTACTAATCTCACGATGTTTCAGTAAGTTCAGTAGTAAGATACTCGTGCAAAGTTTTCTTTTCCTGCTATATATATTTTTTTGGCAGAGTATTTAAATAGTTACACAGACACAAAAATTAATAACACACAACACAAATCACTTACTTATTTCTTGAGAGTTCCTGCTAACCTTGCAATGAATACTTAACACATGCCACAAACTGCTGAAATCTTGTTCTCAGCCACTGATTGTAGCAGAACTAATTATAGATGTTCAACTTAATGGCAAGGCATGTAGCACAGTTGTTTCCAATGATTAATGAACAAAGGCTATGAACTCTTTCAAAATAGAAAGTGGAATTCAATAGCAGCCTACACAGGGTTATAAACTAATACAACTCAGAGGGAATCACAGTTATATTTGCTGAGTACTGGCAAAAGTTAGTTAAACAAAACTAAATAGAATCATCCATTCAGATCACTCTAAAAGACGGTCATCTATATTTACCTGTGTAGAATATGAATCAGGTTATTTACCCAGGAATTGATATCAGTCCAAAAAAATTTTTTGTGTGTCTTTCTGAGACAGGGTCTCGCTATGCAGTTTGAGCTGGCCTTAAGCTCACTTTGTAGCCCATGCTGGTCTTGAACTCGCAATGATCCTCCTGCCTCAGCCTTCTGAGTGCTGGGATTACAGGCATGCCCAGCTACTCAAAATTTTAAATGGTTACACATTAACAATGCTTAAGAATTTAACACCACATATTTAATTAAATACTAGCAAATGATGTGGTAATACATATTCCTGATCTAATATTAAAGTCAGGACTCTTGAGGTCTTTATAGGAGTTAATCAAGCTCAACTTCATGTGAATAATTAAAAGTAAATTTAAATTACATTTTATTTTCCTTTTTCCTCTCCTTTCTTCCTTTTTGATAATAGAGACTAAATCTAGGGCCTTTACTCAAGCCACCTCCCTAGCCCCTTTTTATTGTAGGGTCTTGTTAACTCATCACCCAGCCAGGACTAGATTTGGGATCCTATTGCCTCAGCCAGCCAGGGTGCTGAAATCAGAAGACTGTGCCACCATATCTGACCACATTTTCTTTTTAAAAATAGTTTAGTAATTCAGAGTTTTCAAAATTCAATTAATTACTGGTAAAATTTTTGTTCTCATATTACTTTATATTTTGTCTAAGTGAAACAGAAAAAATGTAGAATATGGCAATAAAGACAAAGGACCTAAAATGGTTAAATTTGGAGAAAATACTATTTAGGCTGCAGAAAAGGCCAAAAGGCTGAGTAACATATCATAAACTCATCTAGCCCTCTTCTATTTGCAGTGGATTAAAAACAGGAACAAATTCTTTGCGGTCCTTCCATCCAGAAGTGGAGCCTGTTTCTCTTCCCATTGCATCGAGGATAACTTCATAATTTGTGTAGGCTAATGGAATATAACTGCAGCAACACTGTGACTTTCATGCCTAGGGCTCCAGTCTGAGCTCTTGCCACTTCCACTGAGTGAAGAAGCCCAGTCAATACCCTCACCAAAGCCCAAATCCAAGAGAAGCCATCTTAGACCATTTAGCTCAACAGTGTCACAAGATAACTGCAGCCACAGGTGTGGCCTGACAGAAGCTGGTAAAAAATTACCTAGTGAAGCCCAGTCCAATACCTGACACTAGGGTGTGAGCAAACAGCAAGTTTTTTTTTTCTTTTTTTTTTTTTATTAGTACTGGGGATTGAACTCACAACTACCTGCTTGCAAGGCAGGTGCTTATGCCGCTGAGCTAAATCCCCAGCCCCAAAACAGCAAGTTTTAAACCACGACATTTTGGGGTGGTTTGTTTCACAGCAGTAGATAATTGTAATACTACTTCTGTGCTTTAACCTTTATTATTATTCTTTTAACAGCAGTTTTAGAGTCACAATAAAACTGAGTAGAAAGCAGAGATTTCCCAGATAGCTCTTTGCTACCCAAGTATAGTCTCCCACATTAATGAACCTGTACTAACAATGATCATCATAGCCTTCATTAGGGTTCACTTTCCTGTTACACAAGCTGTGGATTTAGACAAGTACATAATGACATAAATTCACATCTGAATGAAATACTTTCACTGCTATATTCTATGTTCTGCTTATTCATGTTTCACACTCTCATGCCCCATTAATCACTGATTTTTTTTTGGTACCAGGGATCGAACCCACAACCTCACTCTTGACAGACAAGCACTTACACCACTGAGCTAAATCCCCGGCCCCTCTCTTATCTTTTTATGGCTTCCATAGTGCCTTTTCCAGAAAGCTACATAGTTGGAACCATAACAGTGTACATAAAGCTTTTTGTATCGGCTTCTTTCACTTTGTAATATGCATTTAAGTTTCCTCCAAGTCTTTTCAAGGATTGATGGCTCATTTCTTTTGGGGGCCTCATTTCTTTTTACTGGTGAAAACATTCCATTGTCTGAATCCCCGTAGTTTATCCATTCACCTAATGAAAGATATCTTGGTTGCTTACAAGTTGTGGCAATTATGAATAAAGCTTCTAGAAATACCTGTATGCAAGTTTTTGTGTGAACATAAGTTTCGACTTTGGGTAAATACCAAAGTGTGTGATTGCTAGATCACAGATAAGATCTACTCAGCTCCGTTGGGAATTGCCAAGCTGTCTTCCACAGTGGCTGTATTATTTTACATTCTCACCAGCAAATGAGTGAGACTGCCCACTGTTTTGCACAGCTGGCAGTACTTGGTGAGGTCAGTTCTCTGGTGTTTGGTTTCTGACAGGTGACAAGTAGTGGCATCTCGTTATCTTCTGTGCTTTTTTAAAAATGTTGGCTAAACCAGGCATGGTGCTGCACATCTGTTATCCTGGCAGTTGGGAGGCTGAGACAGGAGGATTGCTACAAGTTTGAATCAGGCCTGGGCTACCCAAAGTCAGCCTGAACTATGTAGTAAGACCCTGTCTCAAAAAAACAAATGGATAAACAATGCTGGTACTTTTGCTTGAAATGCTCCCAACTTCTGCCTACTAAAATGAGTTAGGGCCATCCTTTCAAAGTAACTCAAGAAGTCAAGTATAGTGGTACATACCTGTCATCACAGCAGGAGGTTGAAGCCAGTCAGTTCAAGGCCAGGCTGAACCGCATAGCAAGATGCTGTTTCAAAACAAAACAGCAAGGGGCTGGGGATTTAGCTCAGTGGCATAAGTGCCTGCCTTGCAAGCAGGCAGTCGTGAGTTCTATCCCCGGTACCAATAAAAAGGAAAAAAAAAAAAAAAAAACAGCAGATGGGAAGGTGAGGCAGGAGGATCACTGTGAGCTGAAGGCCAGCCTGAACTGCATACTGAAACCCTGTCTCAAACAAAACAAAACACAACAAAATGGCTCAAGAGCTTTTCTTCTAACAGAAAGCTTTGTTTCAACTGTCAGCCTCTTCTATCATTTCACCCCCAGTACCCTATGAGTAGCTAAATGGGACCACCAATCCCTTTTCTACTGTTTCTTCTACCTGGAAAGTCAGTCTTTCCCATGAAAAACATTGTTATTTTTCTTCTATGAGAAGAGGTGAGAGGCGGGTCTTAGCAAGGACCCACTTCTATGAGAGGAGGGTCTTAGCAAGGAATGAGTAGTGTTTTCTCTGTGCTTCAGTGGTAATAACAGCAACTAGAGTGTACTGAGCATTTAATATACATGTTTAATATTATAGCAGGCAAGGAGCTGGGATTCAGCTCAGTGGCGTAAGTGCCTGCCTGTCAAGTATGAGGTGGTGAGTTCGATTCCTGGTACCAAAAAAAAAAAAAAAATAAGAACTCTTCTAGCACACACCGGGCAGTGTCCCTAGGCACTGTATTTGTTAACTTCCAAGCAACCCTACGAAGGATATTTAAGAATGTGACCTTTATCAAGCTATTTGCTCAACATCTCTGAAACTCATTTTCTTTAAATGGGAACGAAATATAGTCCCTCAGTTCTTAAGGTTAAGACTCAATAAGAAAATATTTATAAAACTCTCGTAAAATAACTGTAAAAGCAGTAAATGTCTGGTACATGTTTAATGCCCATTAAGAGCTGACAGTGACCACTACTGTGCTATTATTTCAGTATTTCCAGTATCTTCACCACCTAGCCCAGAACCTAGAACAGAAAAAGCCCTCAGTGTTTGGCTTATTTTAAGCTATTTCTAAGCAGCTTTATTCCTTGCTTGATGCAGCCTAACCCACGGGAACAGGTTGTCCATGCTATGCAGTCTCCTCATTTCCCACACGTTGTACAATATCCTGTGTTTCACACACTCATCCCCTCAGTGACATAACAAACATTTCCCAATTTAACTCTGCAAGTCATGGCCTCTTCTTCATTCGTTAGTCAGTAGCCGCAAAATTAATATTCATTTTGCAATGCTTGGATATCTCATATGTCATGGAAGGAGAAGATAAGAAAGTTAGTAGTAATTTAGACAAGTAGATTAAAGCAGTCACTGACATACTTTTTTTTTTGAGACAGGCTCTCACTATGCAGTTCAGGC